TTCCGCTGCGCCACAAGGCGCCATTTTGTATGTATCAGAATGTACGTTGCTTGTTGAGATTTCACTAGCACTGCATTGTCCATCCAGTCCTTTTTATCMCAATGCGGATCCTTGGTTATATATGTACATCGCCCAACTGGGCATGTAACAGTTGGTAYCGGAGCACCGCATGCGAATCAGGACAACCTGATYTGACACGTGTGCAGGGACTAGGTAGCTGATTAGTCTTGATTGATTGATTAKAGCACACTAGTTAGCCCCCAAAATCGCAATTTTGACCTCACTGGAGTCTATGCCGAAAATCAATTTTTTTTCTTTTCTTGGATTTTGTTTTCCYGCTATCTCTGTTGTGGAAAATCGCAATAGCGCAACACCTGAAATTTTCGTTTTCGTTTTTCTTCTGAAAATTCAAAATTTCGTTGTTGGAAATCCGGATTATTTTTTTTTGAAAATTTYGATTTCCTTTTGCAATTTCCCATTATTTTGTATTTTCGAAATTCGTCTTTTTTAAAAACGGTACAGGAAATCCCTCTTGCAGTTATCATTCTCCAAACTGCGTGTACTCTCATTTGAGTATTCCAAATATTTTGCTGTATTTTATTGTCGGAATTCTTTTTCGGATAATCATTTGCAGTCTAAAAGTTCGAATTGTTTTTTTCTCATTAGTAATTTCGCACTTCAGGGGGAATTGGGAGGCCTACTGAACTTGCAAACRACTATTTTTTTCTTTTTCTYGATKTYTTTTGCAAAGTTCAAACTTTTCTTTTTTTGATTAGTGGCTCCTTAYCTGGGCGACGTATCCCACCCACCCCTCCCCACCTATGTTGTTGCCCCCTCTGGTYTTATCTTCTCTATCTGTCTCTGGGTACCCRTTGCGGCRGCATTTGTGAGTTGCCACGTCAGCAGACCACATCAGCMGGCCACRTCAGCAGGCCATGTGAGCAGACYACGTGAATAGGCCACGTCAGCAGCAGGGAGTGCCACGTCAGCAGACCCCCAACCTGGTCTATCTTCACGCRCTCGSAAACAGCCATCATGGACSAGAAGTCYGGGGAAATGGACGAGGCCTATTAGGCCCGAATGCTGCTTCTGATTACCGAAGCCAAGCAACAGTCGGATGCAGTAGCAGGCGCAACAAAGAAGAAGGCAGAGGACGCCGAGAAGGCACGTCTGTTGGCAATCGAACAGCAGCGCCAGCACGACGAGGCAGCAGCAAAGGCTGCCGATAAAGAACGAATTCAACGGCGCGAGAAGATATTCAGCGGAGAGCGAGCTTTGCTCACAATKGCAATGGACTRGCGGSCCGAGGCCGAGAATGGCAAGATGGAAGAGAGTGAAAACAAGATCGCTCTACTCCTCTCCCATCTCACGGACGTCCTGGCAACATGCATTACAYAGCAGGAGGATATCCACAACCTCGATGACACGTTAGCTCAAGTCAGCAGCCGCCTGCAGCAGCTGGGGCAACGACCCGTCGCCGCCCCCGATGCCAGCTCCTCCAACACCTCTGATSGCCTTGAGGCATTGGAGATTGATGTCGTATCCCTCAAGGACGGCGTGCAGTTAACAGCAAACCACAACGCAACAGTTGGAGCAGCGGATCTGTACTGCCGCCACCCACTCGAGCTCGGAACCGTGCGAGATGACTCCAAGGTTAAATGATCAGGAGATCTTCTGCGACTCGACGAAGACGGACCCGATTCTATGGTTCCGCAAGTTCGAGCTCAAGTTGCAGCTCCACCACGTCAGCGAACACGAGCACCACACATACTTATACTCCCAGTCGGGGGGCGCGTGCCAAGCATGGTTGGACAATCTCTTGTCCAAGTACGGAGTGGTGACTGCCGACTTGTACACCAAGATCAGCTGGGATGATCTAAAGGCGGCGTGGCATAAGCGGTTCCAAGTAGAGCCGTCGGAGATCAAGGCAATGGACAAGCTGATGACCTTCGAACAAGGCACGCTGCCGAGTGTTGACTGGATTGCCGAGTACCAACGCTTGACATCCGTCCCATACCTTCAAATGGGCTTCAAGGCCGTCAAACACTACTCCATCTCGAGGTCCTGTCCGACGTTGGGCAATGCCTTGGCTCACGTCGAGGACACCCTAACGACAACGACGGATCTCTTCAACAAGGCCGCGCAGGTCGTTGTCACGAACAAGGAGGCGAAGAACCTCCACCGTTCGTCTGCGGCATGCCTGAGTAGAGATCAGCATCGACCGAAAGTGGCCGTGGTCGCGGCGGCAACGCCAACTGACCAAAGTAGCGAGGCCGTGTCTGCCAATGAAGGGGACAGACTCGCAGCCGCTCGGGATGGTGGCCACCCCGACGAAGGTCGAGGACACAGCAAGACGAAGACAAACACCGCATCTAGCCCCGGGCCCGGCGCAGAAGCTCCAGCCCCATGGTCCCACTACGGTCTCTCTGAGCAGGCGTACAAAGCACGCACGAGATTCCGCTATTGTCTGTGGTGTAACAGCGATCTCCACGACACAATAGGTTGCCCNCACTACGGTCTCTCTGAGCAGGCGTACAAAGCACGCACGAGATTCCGCTATTGTCTGTGGTGTAACAGCGATCTCCACGACACAATAGGTTGCCCATCGAAAGGCATTCGACGACAGTCTCGGCGCCTTCATAACCGGTCGCTTCGCGGGTGACCGCCCTTCGTTCCAAGGCACATGCGGAAGTCGATAGTCCTCCTCTTCTATATTCTTATGAGGACTATGCTGCCCGGCTCGTTCCTATGCTGGGTACTCATGCTCAAGGACAAGACATGTGTGCGACATCTTCTCCGTCCGGCAGCTGTGACTTATCGTCTTCAAGTGGTTCTTTACGGGATTCGGCATGCGAGTTCAACATAGAGGTATTGGACCCGTTCACGTCCGAGGATTTCGCATGGCTTCCTCTCCCAACCACGGGCCGCTTGCCGGGACCGCAATGTGTAGCATTATGCGCTCATCTACACACGTATCTATCCTTCTATGCACCAGCAACTTCGCCGACGGATGACGAAGCTGCGGTGGGTGACATCCTTGCGTATGTTACCAAGGTGGCCCACGAGTTTCGCAAGCAGCGGTACGATGACAACAACGCACCGCTCCTGTATGTCCGCATCCAAGTTGGGCAAGCGTCCTGCAGCGCTTTGCTGGATAGCGGCACGTCTCGCAATTTCATGAGCCAAGCCTTTATGCAAAGGGCTGGCCTTGGCGCACAAGTTCGCAGGAAGGCAAACGCGACGGCGATCAAGTTGGCGGACTGAAGCACGCAGCAACATATCGACCGCTACATTGAGGCCGTACCGGTGTATGTCGCACCTCATGGCATGAGAAACGGTGACGTTCGACATTTTGGACACGGACTTTGACATTATTTTGGGAATGCCTTTGCTCGCAAGTGCGGATCACACGGTCAACTTCCACGGGCGGACTCTTACCGTTCGCGACGCCTTCGATGTCGAAGTGCCGTGTACTATTCCTCTCCCGCACCCTTCGATTCGGTGCCAAGTGGTGACGACCAAGTCATTCCGGACTACTTGTGCTTACGATCAGCCCGACGAAATCGACCTATGTTTCCTATGGACCGTCGTGGCAGCCGACTCTTCACCCACGGACTTGTCTTCGGACCCCCGTGTGGTGTGGTTGCTCGACGAGTTCGCCAACATCTTCGAGGCACCTACAGGTGTGGTGCCGGATCGGTCGATCTCTCACGAGATCATTCTTGAGGTCGGTGCTGTGTCGCCGAAAGGTTGCATTTACCCCATGAGCGAGGATGAGCTTACGGTCATCCGCAAGCAACTCGACGACTTGTTGGACAAGGGTTGGATCCGCCCTAATAGCTCTTCATATGGAGCGCCAGTTCTCTTCGTACGGAAGAAGAACAAGGATCTTCGCTTGTGCATCGACTACCGCAAGCTCAATTCGCAAACCGTCAAGAATGCGGGACCTCTTCCTCGTATCGACGATGTTCTTGAGCGATTGGGCGGCGCAAAGTACTTCTCTAAGTTGGATTTGAAGTCGGGATACCATCAGATTTCGATCCGGCCGAACGATCGCTATAAATCCGCGTTCAAGACACGGTATGGGCATTTTGAGTGGGTGGTCATGCCTTGTGGCCTCACCAACGCCCCGACGACCTTTCAAGCGGCAATGACCAACGAGTTTCGTGCGATGTTGGACCGATTCATGCTKGTCTACTTAGACGACATTCTCGTCTATAGCCAGTCATTGGAGGATCATCTTGAGCACCTTCAATGAGTGTTGGAGATGCTCCGCCGCGCCAAGTACAAAGCCAWCCGTGACAAGTGSAAATTTGCCCGGCAAGAGMTGGAATACTTGGGCCATTTTGTCACACTAGAGGGCATCAGTCCGTTGTCAGACAAGATTCAAGCCATCCAAGAGAGGCCGGAGCCGCGGAACGTSACGGATGTCTGTTCGTTCCTTGGCCTTGTCGGCTTCTACAAKGGATACTCGAAGATTGCGGCCCACTTGACCAAGCTTCAATGCGAGGATCGGCYGTTTGACTTCAGGGAGGATGCGCGGGAATCATTTTTGGCTCTCAAAGCCGCGCTATTATCTRYGGAGGTCTGTGCAYATTCGACCATTATTGCCAACGCGCGCCACTACGGATGCGTCCGGCTATGACATTGGTGCCATCCTCGAACAACACGATGGCGTGGACTGGCACCCGGTCGAGTACTTCAGCAAGAAAGTGCCCGGCGTGCACTCCATTGATGATGCACGCAAGAAGGAGCTCCTAACCTTCGTCCACGCGCTCAAGGGGTGGCGACATTTTTTCCTTGGTCGAAGCCAATTCCGATGGGTAACGGACAACAATCCGTTGGTCTTCTACAAGACCCAAGACACCGTAAATAGCACCATGGCCCGATGGATGGCTTTTATCGACCAGTTCGACTTCTTTCCCGATCACATTCCGGGGAAGTCGAACCATTTTGAGGATGCTCTTTCACGACGTCCGGATCATTGTACCATAGTCTATTCGACCTTCGAGATAGGCGACGACCTGCGGGACAGTTTCATCCGCGGCTACCAAGCCGACCCTGAGTTTCGCGACAAGTATGCAAATTGTTCCTCTCCTGATCCGGTGCCTTCTCACTACCGGGTCCAAGAGGGGTACTTGCTTGTCCACACGCAGGGGAAGGATCTTCTTTGCGTACCCAGTGACTCTCACTTGCGTACACGGCTTCTTGGCGAGTTCCACGATGCTCTCGCCACCGGACACTTTGGAGTCAATCGCACGATTGGCCGACTTCGCGAGCGATTTTGGTGGCCCGGCCTTCTCGGCGACGTCACGCGCTATTGCGAGTCATGCGAGGTTTGTCGACGCTGCAAATCCCGCAACCATCGTCCGTACGGTGAGTTGCGACCATTACCGGTCCCCTTGCGCCAAAGGGAAGCGATTGCCATGGACATTACCGGCCCGTTCCCCAAGCACAAGACCGGTGTGGATGGGATTCTCACGGCGGTCAACCGACTCACCAAGTTCGCCATGTTTGTGCCTTGCCCCTATCATGCCAAGGCACCGAAGTTCGTCGAGGTTCTTTACGCCAGTTGGATTCGAACGAAGGGTTACCCCAAGGAAATTGTTTGCGACCACGACACTTGGTTCATGTCTGATTTTTGGTTGGCGCTCATCAAACGATGGGGCTCATCTCTCAAGCCAAGTTCGGCTCGCCACCCCCAAACCGATGGCCAAACGGAGAGGGCGCATCATACCACACAGGTTCTCCTTCGCACTCTCATCCGTCCCGACCAAAAGGATTGGGTTGAGCGGTTGTCGGATGTCGAGTTGGCATACAACTCGTCCATCCACCCAGCTATTGGGATGTCGCCCTTCGGGTTCGAGCACGGCTCGCCGGTGACTTCTCCGTTGGACACAATCATTCCACGAACGGCCGAGAGCGACGACCATCTTTTTTTCTTGCGTCGGATGCAAGAGCTACTTATCAAGGCACGCGACCAGATGGAGCAACGCATGAGCCAACAGGCCAATCGCCAACGTCTTCCTTGCCCATTTCGCACCGACGATCGTTTGGGTTTCCACCGTGGAATTCAACCTTGAAAAGATATCTCTCGCAAGCTCCTCCCGAAATGGATGGGGCCCTGGCCGATCGTGGCACCCGCTGGGGATGCACCCGAAGGACCTTCTTTCACCATTCAGGTGTCGTCCCACTTGCCCGTCTACACGGTCTTTCATTGCTCCAAGTTGGCTCTTTACACGCCAGCGGAACATGACAATTTTCCAGGGCGACGACCGCAAGACCCACCATCTATGGACGGTTTTCAAGAAGTCGGCTATATCATCTCCCAGCAATGCTACGACAACAGGCCAACCGAGTACTTGGTACACTTTGCGTATTACACTCACAAAGTTGACAGGGGTGTTGGTTGAGGTGGGTTGAGGTGGGGAAGCAGGGAGGGGCAACAAGGGGGGTATGAGAATAAAGTCGGGTTGCAGGTACGGAACCTGGAAGCAGTGGATACGCAAAGATACGGTGCAGGTCTTGCCAAAGTTGGGTATAAGTTTCCTTCAAAATTGCCTTGGTTGCAGGCTCCTTTTCTTCTTCGTACTCCCGTCTGAAGGATTTCCATGCGTCGTATGTACGGKACCTAATTTCATCCTGAATTTCCTGTTGGGCTCGCCTCAATCCTAGCTGATGGTCCCTCCTTTCATGSGAGCATCTGGTTCTCCAGGCCAGCATAAGGACTGGCAGCCTCATATAGAGAAAGAGGTTAGATGCGAAGGGGGACCATTGTGCTAGCAAGTGCTGGTTCTCCYCYAGAAGCAGCAGCCCGAGATCCCATGGGATATGTTGGGCTGTGAGGGAATGAAAGGCCGCATCCCACCATTGCCACAACTGGGTGACCATGGGGCATGCCAGCAGGCAGTGTTCCATCGTGGCCCAAGCTGGTGGCGTCGCCCTGCCACAATACGTACAGATGGGGGATAGCAGGCCTCTCTCCTCCAGGTCCGACCTCGAAACAAGCCAGTCAGGGGTAGGGAGGCATCAATGTAGGATCTGCCATTGCAAAGCTTTCAGGTTTGTCGGCATAATTTTAGAGACTTTYGACCAGGGCAGGTTTTCCACCATCTGCGGGTCCATGGSCGAGTYACGTGCCCATCTTTGGGCTAATKTCTGATCAATTGGCAGGGTGGGACGTGCAACTTTGTAGCCTCCTCTGACTGTGTAATCCCAGGTATGAAGAGGCTTGGGGCTCGGCCACTCCCACTCCCCTGGGTCAAACGGGAGTCTGGCAACCGGGGTTGCAGGTTCGTAAACAAACAAATCATCTTGGGAGTCACCCACCACCCTTACTTGCATGAGTCCTCCCCAGTTTTCCTCGYGATCCAGGTTGTCATTTCGTGCTAATTTCGCAAATCTGGCACCTGTCAGGTGGGGTTCGTATGCCTCCAACTGGCACTGTCCGTCATAGTTAGCTGTCACTTCGTATACGAYGGTCGGGGTGGGAAGATCGGTGTATCTCACTACCCAGTCCCCTTGTTTAACTATGGGACCGTTCTTGAGGGTGGACCTCCAGRCTAGAGGCAAGGCCTCCYTGAGTTTGAACGCCTTCTCCCCCACATTCTTAACATATTTAAGGCGCCTTTGGAGCTGCTCTGTTGTGGCCCAATCTACTGCTAGCGGGTCCCACAGGTCCCCCACCGTAAATATCCCTCTTTTTGTCCATATTAGCCAGGGGGAGTTTGTGGTGAGCGTAAAGGGGCCACCTTCCTCGTCCAGGATGTAGGGGTTGCCAAACAACGGCTGCCTCCAGATTTCTTGCCAGTTGTTGGGGGGCCATTTCTGCTGCGGACCACATGTCCTCCARAGTTTGAGCATATTGGCCCAGAGAGGATCGTTGATCAAATCCAGTCTGGCTGCTTGTCGCAGGTCGTTGGCATGTTTGTTTTGTGGGGGAGAGGGGATCGTCCAATGCTTGTTGGTGAGCCACCGGTAGGGATGTATGTCGCAGCCCGCGGCCGATTGAGGGGCAAGTGCAGCTATCTGCAAGGCAGCMAGAGGCGCCCATGGGATATCATTTCCCATGAGTAGTCTAATTAGGACCTTGAAAACTAGTGCCTCACACTCCCTCTCCGGGTCCAGTATCCCCAATCCCCCTTTGGTTCTTGGCTGTGTGAGGACATCCCATCTTACCCTGGACAAACATCTTTCAGATTTGGCGCTGTTCTTCCAGAGGTACGTTGTGAGCGTTGTTTTTAGTCTTGCATATTGAGGAGGTTTTAGAGGCCAGACTGCAAGTTTATACCAGATGGCCGCYARAACAGCGTTATTGATTGCTAAGGCCCTTCCTACGAGCGAGGTATAAAGTCCTTCCCATTTCGCTAGTCGATCAATTGCCATATTCACCAATACCTCTCCGTGATCAGGCGGGGGTCCAAGTGCAGTCAGCCTCACCCCTAAGATTCTAATAGCTTCGTCTTCACGTGTCCATGCGACAAGCGGCTGGGGTGGTGGTGGTTGACCTTGGGGGTGGAGCCACCAGCCTTCTGTCTTAGAGCCCCAGTTAACYTTCATATCGGCAGCCAGTGARAAGGTATGTATGACCTATGCTAGAGCTYGTATGCCGTCATCGTCCGCCCTGATAAGAACTGTAAGATCATCARCAAACAGCGAGGTCACCRGGATGAGATGGTGAGGAATGTCTGGGATAGGTATTTTGCTGATCTYGGGGTGAGATSTGATCAAAGCGGCTAAGGCCTCYGTAACGATGACGAAGAGCAACGGGGCGACCKGGTCACCCTGTCGCACTGACCTTTGCAGGTGTATTGGCGGTGAGAGATGGCCATTGAKCATAATGTTAGTAGTGGCTGGTTTATGAAGGAGTTGTATCCAGTGGCAGAAGGTCAAGCCAAAATTCATTTTTAGCAGACACATATCTAGGAATTCCCAGTTGACATGATCGTACGCTTTTTCAAAGTCTATAAACATGATGGCTGTTGGGACTTTCCTCTGACGTGCATACTTTATAGTCTCGTTAAGTAACAGGTTATTGTCTTGGATATTGCGGTTAGTCATGAATCCTGTTTGGTCCGGGTGTATGAGCACATTCATATGTGGCAGCAAGCGTATCGTCAGAGCCTTTGCCACCATTTTGTAGGGCACAGGGAGGAGCGTGATAGGCCTGTAATTTCGGATGTCCTCCCTATCTCCTTTTTTTATAGAGGAGCGTTGTGACCCCTTGGCCAATTATGCCTCCAAAGGACCCCTGCCTCTGGACTRACCGTGTGTATTCGAGGAGGTCGTCTCCAATCATATCCCAAAACTGCACCTAGAATTCCTTA